GTATTTCTACCAAAGACTGCATTGTCTAGCAGCCGCGCAAACAGGCACAATTACTGAAAGAAAGCAAGCAAAACATACTTAGCACATCCGTAATGTTGGAACGATGGAAGAAGTTGAGATGACCGCGCAGTATCTCACACACGAGGTAGTTCGCCTGACTGGGGTCAATTTTGCTCACAATGAGACGGATGAAATCCGTATTGTTGGTCAATTCGTGGGCGAACTAGAGGTAACACAAAGGCAGAAAGAGAGGACTGTACATGACAGCAGGGTTCCAATGTATTTGGATAATAGGGAAAGCAAAGAGAAACTGAAACTTACCACACTGTAGACCGTAGGAAGGAGGTAGCAAAAGAGGAACCGATTGTCGTCCGCAAGGAGCTAGGAAGGAGAGAGGGCAGATGGTTTCATAATAATCAAGCGATATTAAACAATTCTAACAACACCAACAAAAATTATCTGACTTGGATTGTGGACTTGTTTATATGCCGCAGGACCAAGTTTGCCTGAGTTGTTGGATTACCAAGCAGCCAGCCATTTCTCGGGCGTTCCGATTTATGTCCTACTTCATCCAGGAGCGTATTCGGTTCCCCGAAATTAGTACTCATCCGAGATCGGGTGACCACCTAACAATTTTACTGTTGGTCACCAAGAAACAAGCTAAGTTTTCCTCTTGGGTTGATCGAGTACCCGTAGAATGAAGACTGTCTCGCAGTTATTTGAACTGATTTGCGTCACTAGCTGAAAGGACGTCTGATGACGTGAGACGGCTGGGAAAAGATGTTGCTTCATTTAAAACGCACCCTCCCCCCGGTCCGTCAAATTTTCAGACAGGCAGATGGCTTTTCTTGAAGGTGAAGCGGTAGGAAATGGCGGTGGCTCAAAATAAACCTCCCAGCGCAGAAGCAACAAATAAGAGACTGTCAACCAAGGTGGCCTTTTTCTTCTGGGTAAAGAAACTGCCGGAAAATAACGCAGTGTCTAGCCAAAGACGTCGGCTTCTGACGTGTCTAAAACCCTTGAGTGACTCCAACTTAACGTCACGATAGTCACCCCCTAGGGACAAGAAAGTCGAAAGTGGGAGCAGAAAAAGAGAGCAAAGTCGATTTCCCTCAAGACGAGGACCTTGGCTTCTTAAACTAAAACGACGCGCTAGCGATCATGGTTGAT